TATTGCCACTCCTGCTCTCTTACAGTTGCCATTTGCTTGATATATCTTTTTCACACCTTTGATTTTTAATCTGTTTTTGTCTTTATCTCTAAGGTGTGTCTCTTGTAGGCAGTATATCGATGGGTTTTCTTTTCTTATCCAACCTACAACTCTCCATCTCTTGTGTGGTGCATTTAATCCATTAACATTCAGGGTAATTATTGATCAATTTGAATTTGTTGCTGTCATTTTGTTATGTGTTTTTTGATGGTGTCCCTGGTTTCTTTGTTCCATATTATTTTGTGTGCTGAGCTCATTATGTTTATGAGTCATGTTATAATTTCTTTTGTTGCTGTTGTTTTAGTATATGCTGAATATTTGTGCTTGTTATATTTTTTATTGTGATGTGAAGGTTTATCATTTTTCTTTGAGGTTACCGGATGATTTATAATTTTCTCTCTGAGTTTAGAACAGTCCATTCTATCTTGCAACTTTCTTAACTTCCTCACCATTTAGAAGTTCTGTAGCTACAGTCTTTTCCCTCATTTTGTTTGTAGTTGTCCTCACTTGCCAATTGATGTCTCTGGTTCCCTGTTTACAATCTTGTAAGCTCATTTACTTTGGATATGTCCATAGCTGTGGTTTCTGAGATACGTCATCTTGTGCATTAATGGTCCGTTGTTATTTGCTACTTTTGGTTCTCTGTTCAAAGGACTCCCTTTCGTATCTCTTGTAGGGCTGGTCTGGTTTTAACAAATTCCCTTAGTTTCTGCTTATCTGGAAATCTCCTAATTTCACCCTCATATTTGAGAGACAATTTTGCTGGGTATATAATTCTTGGTTGAAAATTTTTGTCTTTCAGGGTTTTATATATACCATCCCATTGCCTTCTTGCTTGCATGGTCTTTGCTGAGAAATCAGAGCTTATTCTTAGTGGCTGTCCTTTGTAGGTAACTTTTTGTGTTTCCCATGCTGCTTTCAGGATTCTGTCTTTGTGTTTGGTTTTGATGAGTTTGATGATGATGTGTCTTGGTGATTTTCTTATGGGGTCTATCCTGTTTGGGGTTCGTTGGACTTCCTGGATGGATATATTCTCATGTTTCATCATGTCAGGGAAGTTCTCCTCCAGCAAATCTTGGACAATTTTCTCAGTGGTGTTGTTTTTCTCTTCCTGTTCTGGAATTCCAGTGACACGTAAGTTATTCCTTTTGATGGTATTCCACATGAACCTTAGGGTTTATTCATTTTGTTTTGATTTTTTTTCTGATTGTTCCCTTTCCAAAGAAGTATTCAGGTATTTGTCTTCAATCTTATTAATTCTGTCTTCCATCACATCAGTTCTTGTAAGGTTTTTTCTGTGTTTTCTTTGGTCTGTCTCTCAATCCTTTGAAGATACCCAAAGATAATTCTTTTGAATTCCTTATCATAGGGTTCCAATGCTGCTTCTTACTCAGGGATGTGTTCTGGGTCTGTATCCTGCTCTCTTGTTTCTACCACTTTATCCTGCTTGCTTGTGTGGACTGTGATGGTCTGTTGTCTCTGAGGCATCGTCGCATTGTTGTATTTAGATCTCTGTTAGCTGTTTGTGAAGAGCAGTCAAGAGTGATTCCGGCTCTTCTTGGTGGTTTTTTATCATTGGCCCATTGGGTCTCACTCAGTAAATGAAGTTGCAGGAGGTGTGGTTGTGGTTGTGTCTTATGGGAACTGTTGTTTTCTCCCACTCAGATAGACACAAATTACAATTTAATAGCCATCAAAAAACTAAAAACACATGGACAACAAACACACCATGTAGTCACAGAGGAACAGTAACCAAGAGAAGAAAAAAGGGAAAAAGAAGAAGAAGAAACAAGAAAACTTGCAATATATGGGGATAGGGCACTAAGAGAAAAAAAGTATAGAAGAAGAATAATGAAGGAAAAAAATGGGAAAAGTGCAAAAATAAAAGGAACGGGCTTAACCACAAGAGAAAAAAGGGGACCAAAAAAAAAGCCACTTAAATTAAAAAAAAAAAAAATTCAACCAGGAACAGGGAAAAGAAAAAATGCTGAAAACTAGGACCTGTGTGGGGAAGATTAAGAATAATAGTAAAAGGGACAAAAGTATTATTAT